GGCCCTACTAGGGGTACATGTATACCTCATGCACCCAGATAGATAGATAGACAGCAAACTAACTCAACAGATGAGGATGGCTGAAAACACTACCAAGGTCCTCAGGCACAGCACTGATACACACACACTGAGGATGAAGAAGTCCAAGGGCATTGCCAACATGTACTGCACTCAACTTGCGTCTGAAGGGAGAAGTGGACCAATACCTAGAGCAGACCCAAGTACTCAAAAGTCTTTCAACCTTGGTTTCCCATCGTGTCATGCAGCCTGCAGACAGGATCAACACAGGCAGTGTTCCTCTAGGTGCTCATTTAACTGTATGCTAAGCCATCATATGCCCTGGGAGATCTGATCAGAGCTTTGCATACTTACAAGTATTTAAACTTATCATTGCATGGTGACAGCATTGTAAAATGTTATGGACAGCATCCTCCACAGGAGATGATTAAATATTCTTTCTGTCTGGCTCTGGTAAAATGTGTGACTATAGAGCTTTCCTATGAGTCTGTTAACCTGCTTGCCTCAATTAATTGCTGAACAATCAGAACAGGAAGATAGAAAGTTGAGCTAAGAACTCATACCTTGGGAAACAACAGCAGAACAAAACAAACCAAAACAGAACAAAACAAAATACACAAAACAAAAGTGGCCAGAAGCCAGAAGCCTTCAGGAAACAGTGAGAACAGAAGACACACAAATGATTCTTGGCTCCAAATACCTTCCCACAAGCTCAGGAACCCACAACTGATTTCAGCTCCTGAACCTGTTCTAGGTTGCTACTCTAGTAACTGCTTGCAGGTATCTGCCCACTTTTTGAACCTGGGTAAGTCTCCCCCCTTCACAATGTCCCTCAGCAGAATCTCAAAGGCTTTCTATTCATTGCACAAAGAACCACAAACCTATGTTGTTTTGAACCATGGCCTCATGCAAGTCATCTGATGCCTTCTACCTCCTGCATCAGAAAAAGCAACAAATGCCTCCTAACTCTCCTTATGACATCCATGACTTTGCAGAACTTTCTCATCAACCCTACAAGTCATATCTTCCCTAAACTTCAAATGCACAGGAGCCGTTTCATACTTCCACTTATCCTTGATTGCAAACTCGCAACCTTCTCTAGTTTTCATTCCTTCATCTCAAACAGGACATACCACAACTGTACATTGAGTTCAATACACGTGCAAATACTGGATTTATACTGTGGTAGCCTGAAGATCTTCTCTGCTTTCATCTTTGTCCCTTTCCTAATAATTTCTCATGTTTCCTTTTTCTTTCTTGCTCCTGCTGAGCACTAATGTAATTTAAGGGAACTATCTATTGTAATCCTAGATCTCAGTCCTGACTGAGCAAACGCAGGGACTGTGAGAATGAAGACCTTAGGCCCACTGTAGGAGAGGATCAGGTTCGAGACCACCTTAAGAACCTGAACATGCACAAGTCCATGGGACCTGATGAAATCCATCCGCGGGTCCTGAAGGAGCTGGCGAATGAAGTTGCTAAGCCACTATCCATCATATTTGAAAAATCATGGCAGTCAGGTGAAGTTCCTGATGACTGGAAGAAGGGAAATATAACCCCCATTTTCAAGAAGGGGAAGACAGACCAGTCAGTCTCACCTCTGTGCCTGGCAAAATCTTGGAGCAGATTCTCCTGGAAAGAATGCTGAGGCACATGAAAAACAGCGAGGTGGTTGGTGACAGCCAACATGGCTTCACTAAGGGGAAATCCTGCCTGACCAATTTGGTGGCCTTCTACGGTGGGGCTACAGAACTGATGGACAGCAGAAGACCAGTTGACGTCATCTACCTGGACTTGTGCAAAGCGTTCAACACTGCCCCACACAACATCCTTGTCTCTAAATTGGGGAGACACCAATTTGATAGATGGACCACTCAGTGGATAAAGAACTGGCTGGATGGCCACACGCAAACAGTTGTGGTCAACAGCTCAATGTCCAGTTGGAGACCAGTAACGACTGTAGTGGTAGGACAAGGGGTAATGGGTTTAAACTTAAACAGGGGAAGTTTAGATTAGATGTAAGGAAGAAGTTCTTTACAGTGAGGGTGGTGAGGCACTGGAATAGGTTGCCCAAGGAAGCTGTGAATGCTCCAGCCCTGGTGGTGTTCAAGGCCAGGTTGGACAGAGCCTTGGGCGACATAGTTTAGTGTGTGGTGTCCCTGCTCATGGCAGGGGGTTGGAACTAGATGATCTTAAGGTCCTTTCCAACCCTAACTATTCTATGATTCTATAATGTCCAGCACAGAGCCCATTCTTTCAGGTATGGAGCTCTGCCTGTTTCACCTCGTGTATCATGTAGTACCTATCAACATTGAATTTCACTAGCCATCCTACCATGTTCCACGTAGGAGTATATTAAATGGCACACGTCACAATGTGTGCAGCAGTGGGGCCAATGATAACTGAAAAAGAAAAAAAGCCATAAATCTCATACACTACCCAGACCAGATTCACTGAGAGATCATGTCCATCCTATGCAGTGAATGAGACAGAAGCCCACTGGGAAAAAAGGCATTATTTAATAAACCCTCAGATAATTACAATAATACATAGAATCATAGAATCATAGAATAGTTAGGGTTGGAAAGAACCTTAAGATCATCTAGTTCTAACCCCCCTGCCATGAGCAGGGACACCACACACTAAACTATGTTGCCCAAGGCTCTGTCCAGCCTGGCCTTGAACACCTCCACGGTTGGAGCATCCACATACGTGGGAAAGAAATACAATTACTTTAATCACGCAAATTTGAACTGCATGACTCTGCAATATTAATACCATCTCTACTATGATCAATTAGTGACATGGTTTAGTGGTGGACTTAGCAGTCCTGGGGTAACAGTTGGACCTAATGGTCTTAATGGTCTTTTCCAACCTAGCTGATTCTATGATTCTAATTGCATCAAGTTATGAATCAGGTGATTAAGCTGTCTGAGCTGTGGTTTGTAGCCTTTTATTTTTGTATTGATTACAAGTGGATAGCCTTGATCCAGCTAAGCCTCTGAGATTCCCCAGCACATGCTTTTCCTGTAAGATTTGCTGCAGAACCTGCTTACTGTTCTTTAAGTCACCCAGAATAATGACCTTTTATGCAGAACTACCTTAAACAGCAACATACCAAAAAAGTACTTATGAATATTAGGGATGATGTTTTTTCTTTTTATAACATTCCCATGCTTTGATATTCCTTCAATTGATTACATACTTGTAGGTTTTATTTCTATCATGCTTCAATGCTACAAATATTGAAAGGCTGTGCTTTTAACAATACAAAAGAGGTGGTTCTTAATTAAATCAATCCTAGTAGGAAAAAAGAGTGTATTTTACCCTTACTGCATTTTTTGAACAGTATGTCAACATACTGGAATTAATTCATACCACAAAATGATTCCTTGGCAGTGTCTAATTCCAAAGGCAGAGATCATTCATAATTTCAAACAAAAATTTTACTAAATCCATGTTTCTGACAGGTTCATAAAGTTGCTAGAACTAACATTACTCTCTTGTGATCCTCTAAAGATCAAAGGAAATACACAAGAGTAATAGAAGCACTGATCCATGTTTATCCAGAAATTATTTTCTCATGATGCCTTCTCACCCATCAAGTGAATGACCACAACTTTAGACACACTGAATACAAAAACAACTGTAATCAGGTGACAATTTACTGACTTGCACAGTATTTCATGAGTGATTTTGAGACAACAGTCTTCAAAGCAGTTTCTTGACGTTCCAACAATTATAATGGAAAAAAGGCAGATGTTAATTTACAGTTGGAGTATGTTTTTTTCCTACAAAATCAAAATGAACCGTGGGCTTCAGCGTGTCAATGCAAAGTGAAAGTGACTGTGCGGACTTTAAAAGAGTTGGGTTCTATTTGTAACATAATCTACGACAGTCCTCAGTGGAAGATATTAATATGTCAAAGGGTACACAGCAAGACAGCAAGCAAATTCAAAACTTCAATCAAGTATTTCAAGTTGCACTAAATACCTCCAGTCAGCAGACAACATAGCTGGTTTCCAAAGAATATACAGTTCATACGTGTCATAATTTACTGAAGAACAACTGCTCTTACGTATGTCAAACTTGGACACAAAAAAGCTAATTTTCAAAACAAAATCTTAAACGGTAAGTGAATACTCAAAAATAAAAAAAAGAAAGGTATGATCAAGATGTTTAGCAGATTGCATATATGTAAAATATTAATCTTTGAGTAATAGGCTGAACTAGAAATATCAAGGAAATAGTTGAATACAGGAATTCAATTCATAGATGATGAACTAAAGATATGGAGTGATAAATATAATTCTGATTTAAGTTAACAAGAAAAGCTATCATTGGTTTACACCATGATTGTTCAAAACCTCACTGGTTTGGCAGTCTCCTTAGATTCTACAAAACAAAGGCACAGAAGCTCACCCAAGTTTCTTGAAGGTATGTGGTATAGCATGCAGTCCACACTTGCTAGGTTTCATGTTTTGTTCTAAATATATTTCTGAATAAATTCTCATCCTTTCCCTCCTTCAAGTATATGTGGTGGTGGTTCCTGGCAAGTCCCCAGGACAGGGTGGTATATAAACAGCCTAAAAGATGATTTTACTCTTTGGTGACATAAATTGCTTCATCTGTCAAAGTTTCCAGACTGTCACAGCAGGTATGCATGTGGTGGATGTATCTGATCAGCATGTCCTAAGTTGTTTTAGTCATTCTTATGGGTCAATTTCACTTCCAAATTAAATGCATTACAAGTATTGTCATAATGTCCACATAACTGTAAGTCAAGATGCCAATTATCTGTGAATGCTGTACTGCAATGTCCACACAAAGGCCAGGTTTCCAGACTCAAACCACCAGCAGATTAAAGTAACAAATTGGAGGCTATTTATGATTCAGGTAAGTATGTTCTTAAGAAATATTTAATACACCTTTTAAGACCTATGTATCTTATTGTTATCTCCTTTTCCCAGCATATTTCTCACCTGGTGGACTCCCGTGCCCTGCTGCAGCTGTAGCAATGGCAAAAGCAGATGCAGGAGAGACTGAACAGTGGGTGTTGTCAGCAGTTTGGACTGTGAAGGGAACAGACAGGGAAATGTCAGCAACTTCTACATACCTTTTGTATTTTTCAAGTTAAGCAACAATAAGATAGTAAATCTTCACTAATGTTTATTCTTTGTGAACATTTTATGTTTTCATTGCCAGAAGACTTTATGTTAGGGGAAATAAAAATATCGTAATAATATTTGTGATTTAAGTTTTATTTCCATTCCATTATAATGAATGCTGCTATGGAAAAGATATCGAAGACACTGCCAAGGTGAGGAATAAGCAGTAATCAAATAGCAAAAGGGGGGAGAATAAAAAACGGGGGAGAGGGAGAGAGACAAAAACAATGGTGTAGAAAAGAAACCTAAATAAAAAAATTATGTTAGAGAACCAAGCACATAAACCAACTTCTGGTAGCTAGGTTCACATATTTTCCCAGTTCACTTCCTAGGATGAGTACAGTTTTGCAAAATTTATCAGGCTTTCTCTATAGTGAATGCTACGAACATTGCTTCTGACTACAACTCAGATAAGTGGCACTGTTCTAGAGAGCTTCCAACTCCCAAATCTTGCCATCTCACCTTAAAAAGTGCCCAGTAACAGATGATTACTATTGGTTTGAAATTAAATGTCTCAGCAACTTACTAATAATTGATAAGACTCTGCTCTGGTTTTGTTGTTTTAATCCCAAGCATGAAATAGCTGCCTAGAAATCTGGCTTGCATGAGATGGCAGAGTTTTAAGCGTTCATGGACATAGCTCACAGCTCTGCTAATGATTACAGAGAGCCACGTGAGAGCTATTCAAGGAGCTTCAGCTCTTGGTTTTCCTTTTCAATTGAGCAGTTTATTCAAATTTTGGAATGAATAATGTGACACCATCTGTAAATGTTCAGTGTTATACAAAGAAACAAGTCACAGTCACTCCCCATTGACAATAATGGGTGTTGTGTATTTCATGATTACATATGGTGCCCAATATATGTCCCTTTAGGAGCTGGGAGAAACCTGTCATGGTTTTGAGATTTTTGTGAGAATAGGACTGATTCAATATCAGTCTTGAACTCTGGCATATCCTGCTAGAGCTATTTAAGAACATTACATCACAGCGAAGTCCCAGTATGCTTCCATACATTACTATACAAACTAACCAGTGTAATTCACATTCTAACAGCTTTTTTTTTTTTTTCCCCAATACCTGAGGAATAAGGAAAATACAAACAGAACACATTAATCAAACATCATTCTTTTCTAACACCCTACAAAGATTACAGCTACAGTATTTAAACTCTTTAAAGTGACTGATAGAGGAAAGAAACACTGGGCTCTCACCTCCTGGCTGACGATAGCGGAGGTGACGTGGTGTCGAAGGGGATCTACATGGGGAAAGCTCTGTGGTGTCCACTGCTGAGGTGCTTTCAGGAATTGTCCGGTCCACTGACATAGACTCTAGAACTGCTGCTTTAAAAGAGAATCAATGTTAATACTGGGATGCTTATTAATAATTTACAACTCTTTCATGTGTATAAATGTATGTAGGACTTGATGATCTTAAAGGTCTTTTCCAACCTAGTTGAGAGTATGATTTTACACTTTTATATTATTGTACATTAATGCAATTATATATTATATAAAAATATGTAACAACTTATGTTAATTAATGTATCAGATATATTGTATTATACTGTGTTATATTAATTATATTATATTAATGTATTTATAAAGTACAAATATTGTTTGAAAATATTAAGAAGCCATAGGCAACTACAGTACGGGGCTTTGAGATATGCTTTTTTAAAGAACAAGAGCACAGTCAGATTAGTTTGTCTTACAGATATTGAGTGCCCTCTGCAAAGATTTTAGAGTATGTGGATGTTTGCAAACACTTAAAGACAGAAAGTCTGCAAATGATCAACTCTGAACAACCTGAGCTGTACCGCATTGATAAAAAAGAATATGTACATCAACGGGGACTTAATTTCTTTAAAAAATTAAATTTAATTAATTAGAAGCACTTAATACCTGTGTTTCGGTATCAGCCTAGTACCATTAAATCCCATCTAACAAAAAGTTATTTATATTTAATATCTGGTATATAGCTGCATTAAAAGGTACTGCTTCTGGAATTTTTGCATAAGGAAGACTCAGTAATAATTGTCCTTTGGATGGAGTTAAAGGGCTGGGAAAGTTTTGTACCAATGACATAGCCACACAAAAGCTCATAAATAAGGAACTTGGTGAAAAACAGCAAGTTGTCAGTTTTCAAAATAGCTTGGATAAGACAGCAGAATTTGCAGTGAAACACATATGTAATACGAATACTTGCAGTCACAGGTTTTGTATGAGCTAGGAAAAGTTTTCCCTGTTAGAAAACCTGCCCAATAGAACAGCCAAACAGCACTGGAAGGCATATTACTCTATGGAGAAGTTCTTCTATCAGAAGAATAAAAAGAGAATGGCAGAAATACAACTTCTGAAATGAGGGAAAAGACGCTGATAAAATATATCATACATTTGGTATGAATGACAACTGTGACTGCAGGACAAAACATTGTACATATAATATATATATAAAAACAAAAACTTTGCAAAACAAAAACTTTCAAAACGAACAACAGCTTTGGAAGTAGGTGAAGTAGGTGGAAACTCCAGGATAGAAATGCACAACACTGAAGAATGACAACCACCATAATAATATGTCCTGGAGAACAGAATCTATATGGTTATATTCGATTTAGATCAAGCCACAGTTGTTCTCTTGGACATCTGGCACTATCAGAGCAACAGTACTAACTGTAATGGGTTGGCAGCTCCTGATTAAGTAGAACTGGCCTCCTTACCCAGGAAACTTTGGAAGTGAAAAAGCACAATAAGAAACATGCGGATTAGCTTTTTGTAGTTCTACTACTACCCACTTCCATTTTCCTTGTGAGATTTTTTTTTCTAAACTCACTTTTCTTCCCCAACATGCTACATGCAGCTGGGTGATAAAAAGACCTTCCCCTGCAGAACTAAGCTACCTCACTGCAAACTCCAAACTGAGTGCAAACAGCTCCCCAAAAGGGACTGGAAACACAGCACAGAGGGTAATTTAGCATTTATTTGAGGCTCTTGCCATTTCCAAATGTTCCTCACACTGCCCAGATGATACTTCCAGCTCTGACAGAATGGAATACAAAATCTGAATACCTCTGCAACCATGCCTACTGCTAACATTAGGCCAGCATAATCTATCCTTTACTAGTCTCCTTTACAATGTGTAGTGAAAAACATAACATCTAAGACTGCAGTTGCCTGTGTATTACAATTAATTTTAATGCATGGCCTATATTTTGGGGCACGTTGTGCTACCATAGTGATTTGAATGTGGTTACATTAGTGCACAAGAAGCATTTGCACAACTCTGCATAGTAAATACTATATTTTACATATGTAAATAGTTTGTTACGCTATTCATTTAATAACATCCAGTGTACAGAAATATATGGATTAAGTGTAACAGCCAACCAGCATTTTATGAAAGCATAAAGCATGGGCAAGTATAGACTCCTATAATTCTAAGGTGGCTAAATTGCCTGTTGAAAGTGTTCTTTTGTTAAACAATAGACTGCATTCTGTAAAAGCAATCCCTCTGCATAGTACAACATCAGATTTCTTACCAGGGCACTTATTTCAATTCATGAGTAAAAAGCAGCCATAATGCTTTTCTCAATTTAAGTTTGGTAATCTTTTTCTTCTTTCCCCTCTATCAATTTTCATTGTTACAAGTACTTGCAAGTAAAGACGAGCTAAATTTTGCTCAGATTCAAGGTTCAAATTCCTCAGACTGTAAGTCAGGCCATGTAAGATCATTTCTAAACACGAATTTTAGGAACAAAATAATTTTTTTTTAAATTTTTTTCCTTATTTTCTGTTTAATGCAAGAAAAATAGAAAAAATTACTATATAGTTCTAATTCCCTCCATCCCTCCACCCTCAAAGAGCGATGAGAAATAAGCATACACTTACGCATCCTGTGAGATTAGAGCTACTTTCTCTATGGGAATGTATGCCTCCTGTGAGATTAGAGCTTTGCCATCTATGAATACAATGATCCCCTTCTAGATGCCCACGTTGAGATTTCTATCAGCTAACTTCAGCCCTCTGGAAGCAGTACCTATTCCAAGGTGCCTTACACAGTCCATAGAGGAAAACAGGCTTCTACACAGGAGCAATTAATCTATTTTAGACATCTATCTTCTGGATGGTATCAGAGTGGTATGAATGTCACTGGTGTACCAACTGCATAACATAAATTATTTATTTGGGTTAGTTTCTGGAAAACTAGCCCTGTTATGTAAACATGTTAAAGCTGTTCTGTCTTTACATCCCTATTTCTTTTTAACTTAATGTTTTACTTCCTGTAGTAACTGTACAACCCCAAAATCTTTCACTTCAGGAAACACAACTGGCATCAACTATTTCCTTCTGCCATTCTCCTTAACATTCTGCTGAAGTGAAAACAGACATGTCCATTCTGCCATACTGCTTTTCCTACAAAGAAAGGAAACAAACAACTCATCACAACCTCTACTAGAGAAGAATCAGAGAGCAAAGTATTTGGTTTCATAACACAACTTGAAGCGATCACAGTTGAAAAAAAGACGTGAGAAACAATTCAGCAGTGATCTGATATATGACAAGCCTACCTTAGAGACAGCCCCATTTATCAAAAATAGAATTCAATATTTTGTGGGTATATAATACCTCTTCGAATGCTTCTCCTCAACTTGTTACAGAGGTCAACCCTAGGGTTCTCCAAGCTGTCCTCTATGGAGCCAGGGCTTTGCTCAGGTGACGAGGGCCCTTTGCTAAGGTCCAGTGGTACTTTGCTACCCGATGGTGGTGGGGAAGTGGCTGGGCTGTAGGTTGAGGTAGGACTGCTTGCCACAGATGAAGCAGAGAGGTCAAGGGCACCAATCCTTGAATTCAGTGGTGAGGTCAATGACAGTTTTCGGGCTCTGACGGGTGAGGACGTTCTGGAGAGTGACAAGGGAGGAGGAGAAGAAAACTTGCGACAGAGATGTGGTGACTTCCCATCAGCCAGGTACTCTCCTCTATTGTTTTGACTAGTAACAAAGAACAACTCCAGAGACCTAAGAGTAAGAAACAAAAAAAGCAAAAGATGATAACAAACGCCAAATAGATTTAAGAGTGAAAACACCTGCAGACAAGTTTTGGGCAAATATGTATGGCACTGCAAAATGTGTCTGACACTTAGCCCTCAAAGCCTAGGAAGAAGTTTGAGACGGACTTACCTGAAAACTTACATCTTATTTACAAAGAAAACCCCTTATTCTTAGTTAATTTATATAATAGAAAATGATGGCAAAAAAACCCAAACAAACAAACAAAAATCAAAAAAAACAAAACCCAACAAATTATAATTCCATAAGAAACGTATGATTAAAAGGGAAAATCCCCAAAGCTCACCTGACAGGAATAGAAGTAAAGGGCCGTCTGTATATGTCTGAAAGTTTTTCCAACACCACAGCTGCAGTAGTAAATATGCGGTAAGTATGCAAGAAAGTATTCAGAAAATCAATACTTAGAAATCGCAGATCTGTCAGCCGCTCCAAAAGGCGCTCAACACTTGCATAACGGATTTGGGGTACTTTGCAGGAATTCAGTGTTTTGCTGAAGCAGATATCAATGTCATCTCTATGAAGACGAGCATCAGATCTACACAAAAATTAAATTTAGAACATTTCACCAAAAACTCGATGATCTTGAAGGTCTTATCCAACCTAGTTGATTCTATGATTCTATGATTATGGTACAGTAGTGGCATCATAGCTGCTCCTGTCAACATAAAAGCATCGAATATACATGCATTCTTGTATTTCAACAACACCAGAAAACTGTTAATCTCTCATGACACCTGCTTCCATTCAGTTATAATTTATGCCATAACTAAGGGAACTTAAATTTTATTTCTGGCAAATAATTAATTTACATTTCAAAGTCTAAGAAACCATTAATAATTAAATTTCTGAAATGGAACACGAGGCAGAATCGCCCCCTCTGGTCTCTTTCAGGCTGTTGTGGCTTGTAGACCAATATTATTAAAAGCTCAATATAGAATAATAGTGTAGAGACTGCATTTTTTCCTTATGGGATCTGGCTTTATCTAAACTAAACCAATGGACGCTAGCGAAAGACAGCAAATTAACCTGTCAGCTAATCTTAAGGCTCACCTGCAAGGTAACACCTGCCATCAGGCTCCAAGAATTACTTTTAGTTTTTAAAAAGAAAAGTGGAACAGCATGAAACATCTGAAATTTCAAAGCAGAAACCATGGCAAGGCTTTGTTTCAGTGAAAAAAACCAAAAATACTAATTTTTGTTTGGACATGTAACAAAAATCAGCCATTTACATAATCCTACTCACAATGCCATTTTTCCAATTTAGTTTTGCTTAATTTTATCTAGTTGAAGGCTTGAAGGCTTAGTGTGTAAAAAAAAAAAAAAAAAAAAAGTATGGATACTAAGTAAAGCATCTTTCTATACTGCCTTATCTTTTCATTAAAAATGATTGGATTTTCTTAGGCTACATCATGAAGATATTCCACACACTTATACATTGCACTAAATATAAGAAGCAACAAAAAAATTATTCTTTCTTAAGCTGAGTCCTCAGGAAAGTAGCTTTGGTTTTGGTTTTGGTTTTTATTTCATCCAAAGACATGTGACTCTCAAAGTCAATGTGTACTGAAAATCAGATGATCTCCTTCTCCGGAGGAGAACACCAAATCTGTGTCTGTTGTTAAGATCCTGTATGGTTTTATAGAATTAAAATTTCTTTTTCTTGACATTGGGAGTAAGACCTTGCTGTACTCCACAATTTGAAAACAGATTAATGTATTTTTAACATTCAGCAGATAACAGAAGTGTTTACACACTGGAGAGTTCCTGGAATAAAACTAAAGACAATAAAAGGCCTTCTTTCTGGGGATCAAAGGTATGTGCTCTATCACTGTATTCACATATTATCTCTTTTTCATTTCATATACAAAGAGAGGAGAGGCAACAATTACAAGAGGCACTTGAGAAACCTTCATGCACAAAGTACATCCAAGAGAGAGAAATGGCCTAGTGACAGATAACAGTAAGAAAAGAAATAGTTATACATCTACTTCTAAGTTCTATTCCTTGATAATAGTAGGTAATATTCCTGGATAATAGTAGGTAAAACTCATGTAAATACAGATCTGTAGAGGTTTCAAGAGGTAAAATTGTGTTAGAAATTGGAAATATGTATTTGCTACAATTCCTCTCTATAATTAAAAAATGCTTATTAAAATAAATGAAAGAATTCAAGAGTGAAAGAAGCAGGTTTATGAATAATGATGTTAACTTCATATGATCAGTTAAAATTATGAGAGAAAATAATTTTTTTTCTCAGAAATAAGAGAAATGGAAATAAAAATTAGGCTAATATAACAAAATACCTTGGAAAATTATACTTGTCTACAGTCAACTAAATTTTGAAGACATTTTAAAGTACATTCAATACAATTATGAGTGGTATGACCCAGAAAAGCTAAGAGAAAATAAAATTATTCATCTGATGCATAACTGAAGGCTACTTCACAAATAATAGAAAAACCTGGGCTGTAATCCTATACAGTCCAATACTATCAATTGACAGTTTACCTTTTTGAGTCACTCTTATCATTTCCAGTAAGAAATTTTAAAAGCTACATTTTGGGATGTAGCATTAAATCCATTCAACAAAAAATTGGGCAAAAAATATTAAAAGATTGTCTCTTCCAAATACACATTTTACTTTGGCAAAAGTTTTATTTAAAAAACCCCAACAAAACAACAAGATATTTAGTACACTGGGGAAGAAATGCTGCACTTACTTTATCATATGTGGCACTGTGACTTTAGAGTTTTCTTCAAACACTATGGTCATTAAACCATTGCACCTTATATTATCAATGCACTGGAAAATAAACATTGAAATCAGTTAAAATCAATACACAGGGTAAGGGGACTTCCACACATTCTGTACCACTGTAAGCTTAAACATATTTTTTACAGGTATGGACTGACTGGTACAAGGTATTTTCATACATGCAAGTCAGTGAATCAAGATTTATAGCAGACAGGCTTCTCTAGTGTTCTGTCTTTGATTTGCACATCTGCAAGTCCACACGTATTTACCAGCACACTCAGGGTATTCAGCTCAACATCCTTTTTTTCACAGGAAGAAGTATTTAGAGTTGGAAGTGAAATTTCCTTTGAAGTTCCTTTGAAACTGAAGAAATATAAATATCTCTAACAATTTGTGAATGAGTGTTAAGCTTAAAAAATCAGTACTGCAGGGAAGTAAAGACTCCTTTATACACGATCAGATACACTGACACTTAACCTTTACTTGTGCAAAAAAGACCAAAGAGAAATATAAACAGTTTCTAGAAACACACTTGTAAAAGCAAATTCAAGTGGTGCTGTTATTGTGACACACAGCTATGAGGATGCTGCCCAAGTAGTTCCTTGCAAAGTCTTGTATAGATGTTTCAGGCTAGGCATTAGAAGCTGGAAAGACACTTGTGGGGCATGGTCTAAGCACATGATGCTTTAGAAATTGCAGGCAGCCCTGTGGCCAGTAGAAGTGTACAGTCTAGGGGGGTGTAAATTGTTCTTCAGGCCTCAGAACAGCTCGGTGCTGGTGGCACAAAGGGGTAGCTCAAAGCCATTTGTATACCATCATTTTCTGGTTTGTACTTTTATGTAGTTAAGACAACCCAGCACCATAAGCCTTGCTCTTGGAAGTCAGCATGAAGTCTGCCAGAGGATCAGGTTTACACATTCTGCAACAAGTACTTCCTACTTAATACTGTAGGACTCTGACTTTATACTACTTTCTAGTTTTATTTGTTGAGTATCTTTTTTATATATGTGTACATATATAAATACTAAAATACTATTTCTTTCTGTCAAAAAAAAGGAGTTTCCTAAATTACCATATATATTTACCTTGACTTCAAAAATAAAAATAGTCTGCTGGCTCTAGAACATCTCATAGCAAAATAATGACTGATGTTAGATTGGTCAAATAAGATAATCAGAGGCCTCTTAGTTTTAACATATATCTACATAGCTATGCATTTCAAATGCTACCTGTGTAGCTAGATGTGTTTTTAAATCTAGGTATTTAAGATTATTTGAAAAGTGCAGTTTTAACAATTCACATTATGATTTTATCAAATTGTTACCTAAAAGTACTGAGAAAAACACATCAAACAAAAATACGTAATTTCCCCCATATGAATTTTAAATTCACAGAGAAGCCCTTAGCACCAATCATAAAACTGCCTGAGGTAATTCAGCACACTTATGCTCAGTCTGCACTGACCTAGCATTTATCACCTCCCTGACAGAACCAGCCAAGGAATGAGTGTAATGGGGATCCAGGGCTGAAGGACAAGCTCCAACAAGAAGGGAGGCTTCTTCAGCATCAACAAAACCCATGCATTTTTCATAAAAAGTGCATGGTTTGCTTAAAAGGAATATAAATTCACTAGGAACATGGAAACAAATATGACTAAAAGTTCTTCATATATAATTTAATAAGAAGCTGAATTCTGAACAAGACGACTAATGCTGTGAGTGAACAGCAACTACATATATACTTTTTTTACTTGGAAACACAGGAAAACATGTATTTACTACAAAATCTTTTTAGATGCCCTTTTTGTGAGCATAACTCCTGTGTTCTCCTTGAGGGTTGCAGCCAGGGCTCAATCATAGAACCAGAATGGTTTGGTTGGAAAGGACCTTAAAGCTCATCCAGTTCCAGCCCCCTGCCATGGACAGGGATACCTTCCATAAGACCAGGTTGCTCCAAGCCCTGTCCAACCTGGCCTTGAGCACTGCCAGGGATGGGGCAGCCACAGCTTCTCTGGGCAACCTGTGCCAGGGCCTCAGCACCCTCACAGGAAAGACCTTCTTCTTAACACCCAACTTAAATCTTCCCTGTTTAAGTTTGAACTCATTGCCCCATGTCCTGTAACTATAATCCCTGATGAAGAGTACCCCTCCAGAATCCCTGTAGGTCCCCTTCAGATACTGGAAGGCTGCTCTGAGGTCTCCACGCAGCCTTCTCTTCTCCAGGCTGAAAAGCCCCAACTTTCTCAGCCTGTCTTCATATGGGACGTGCTCCAGCCCCCTGATGATCATGGTCTTCAGGAGACCAGTGGTCTCACTCATTTAGAAATTCTCATGCGTTACCTGTTGTTTCACCCTTAATTTTCTTCGTCCAGCAGAAGACAAGTGGCATGTTTCTTGCAATATTTTCTTATTTTTTGCTCTCCACATGGAGTATACACAGCATCTTGTGCCCCTTCTTACTCCTTTTTCTCTTTTCAGCCACTTCCTATCCCCTCAGCATCTCTTGCTTCCCTTCCTGGAGAAGTCATGTTTACCTCTGCCTTGCTAAAACACTCTCTAGCTTTCTACACATGCAGCTCTCAAGTCAGCTGCGGAGCTTACCAGCTCTTCCCCTATCACCACAGTAGGGTTGTTTGGAGCTGGAGTGGTTTGGAGGAGAAAAGCTGGCCTTTGGAGGCAGACCCAACTCTGATCTCTAGTCTATATGGATTTCAGTTGACTTTCTCCTTTAAATTTATTATTATTTAGGCTAAGAATGGATTTATTCCTGTGCGTCCCATGTTCCAGGCCAGTTCTTAGGCAGTCTTTACTACTGAGCAAATAATTCCAATACTTTTACATGCAAATGGAACAGCATGCACACTGAAAATCCATTTTGTAAAAAAATCTGCAAGCCGGTCAGTCTGTAAGACCTGTATGCACTGAGGTACTCAGTGCTGTATTTTGAGATTTCTATCTTTTTAGTTTTGTTCCTTTAAAATAGTCCAGAAGAAAGTAACTCAAAATACTTATTTTTAAGCTATTTCTACTAATTATGACCCCAATTCATCTGGACATGTTGCCAGCAATGGTACCATCTTTAGGAATCCATCAAATTCCACGCTGATATTTGTTTAATCAACTATTTATCTTGAAATTGATAGAGAACAGGACTCAAATTCAGAACTATGAAAGATCTATGTACTATGTCTCTGCCCATGGCAGGGGGTTGGATCTAGATGAGCTTTAAGGTCCCTTCCAACCCAAACCATTCTATGCTTCTGTAACTCTATAAACAAAACAGCAATGCCTTAATTCGTATCTGGTTGGCTGAAAGTTCAGATATTTCACAGTGCATTCAATTTCTTTACCCAAACAGATTCCCGTAGAAGTTTTTCTGCTGTTTTTAGCCAAAAGCTTTTTTTTTTTTAATCCCTCATATTAAAGTATTCTAAACCATTTTTCTTCATTCACAATAAAGACAACTGCACACTGCTAGAATGCTCAGTAATTATTAATAATGGTTTGTTAGTATTCTTTTTGGTGGAAAACAGAGTTTATCTCATTTTCTCACTGCATGGGAGATGATTATTGATGTGATATGGTATCATTTTCACTCTCGGGACTCTCAGATGTTTTCTGATCTGTGTGAAAGTTACGAACAAACAAGTAAATCAAAATACATATCTGGATGGGCTCTCCTTAGACATAAAAATTACTACCCTTACTATTATATTTGTCAGCTGACAATTTTGTATTTTACATCCCATCTCTCTCAGCGAGAAACAGATTTCACTGATGACTCAAATGCAATTACAGAATTTTAAGGAAAACAAGGAAACACTAAGGGTTTTTTATATATATTACAGCAAATCAGCCCTCAAGAAATCAACATCTCTCCCTTGGATTAGTTTTCAGAAATACAAAATAAACTAAGATTTCAATACAAACAAGATAAAGAATGCTTTAAACTACCTGACTTATATCACTTGTCCATGCAGCTTTCTCCTGTCGTGATGGGGCTAAAAGGACAACAGTAAAAGAAGGAGCATCTGTAGGTTCAACTACAAGCTTGAAATCAAGGTGTCCAAACACTTGTCCAGAACCTTTTGCTTTACAGCCAAAGGAGAGGGGAAAAAAAAAAAAAGTCAAACTGTGAGACTTCATACTGTAAGACAAAGAAAATAATTGTTTCATTTAAAATTGGAGTTACTTTAAAACATCTCACTGACAAAGAGCAAACCCAATTGGGAATCCAAAATTCATACACCAAATAAAAACATGAAGTTGCAAACATGCAGTAGTGGGAGTTGCTGTATGCTACTTTTAAAGATACCAAGTAAGGCTAAAGTCCTTCTACACTGCTATGCTGATATACCCCCAATATACTAGAAGTATCAGTGAAATTAAAGAAACTAATTTCAGAATTCAAGTGCAAAACTTGCCTAAAACTGCAGGATGGAAGCCAAAATTAGTAACACTAAAATCAGCCTTAGACTGTGTTTTATTTCACTTCTGCATGCTTGCAGTTAAGATTTGCATGGACTCCAAAACAAAAACCTTCCACTAATTCTGCCAATGTAATCAACCTCCATGTATATAAGAAACCCAATTATCTACTAGTTTTTTAAGGCATACTTTTTTCTTTCCAACATTCTCTGGGTGAAGCTGTAATATAAAACTCAGCAAATAATTTGTCACATTCCTTCAGTCAGTCTACTTGAAAATCCTATGTGGGATGTCAACAGCAAGAACAAACATAGCAACAAAAGCCTCTTATCTATGTCAGCATGTCCTTTACTAAAACATCTACTCTACGGAAGCACTTTAATGCCATATTCCTCAGGTTTTATGAAAGGGGAGAACATACCAATTTGCTCCTGTGAAGAATAAACAAAGGGTACCAATTTAAAGAAACTAGAAACTGCAATTACTACAAACAGCTGAACTTAACTTACAATCATCATCACTTGCTTCTGTCTCCTCGATCAGTGTGCACTCTATTAAAGACAGAACACCTCCTGTCTATGAAAACAAAGCACATTTTTTACAGATTTTGACATTTGTTTCCATTTCTCATTATAGTTATTTTTAAAGTTGATATACCTTACTCTAGGATTTTACATTACTCACAGTTCTTAGGAAGATACATCAATGTAATGATGCATATTTTTACTCAAGAACTGCACCCAGACAGATTAAATATACTTTTTTTCTTAATCCAACAAATCAACAATATACTCCTATGTACTTTTTTTTTCATTTTTACCACACTATAATTTATCTCACATACAGTCTTGTTCAAAAATATCAAAAAAAGTAACTAGAATTTCATCTTCTCCTGAATTTAAATAAAATACATGCAAGATTTTTTTAAAGGTTTTGTTATACTCTATTTACTTTGCAAAACATTTGAACTATTTATGGAATGCAAAGTGAGAAAGCATGCAAAAAGTCTTAAAAACCTCTCAGGAACGTCTTTGTCAAATTAAAATTCTATTCAACATAATCCCTACTGTAAACTACCAACATTTCTTTATTCACAAGCCAACACTATGAAAGCTTGATTCTTCACAAATATGACTGAAGTGCTCTTAGAAGAGCTTTCATCTTAAGAGAATGTGCTGCTTGACTTTTAAAAATTATTTTCTTAGAGCTCTGGAAAATACTCCTTGGTAATTCCAAGGCATTGTACTGGCTGGTTTATGCACTGAAAACTGATATTCAGTGCTAGCTTATACGAATAGACATGCTATTGCCTTGTTTCTAACCCCCAGCTTTGTAATGAGAAGGAAAAGCAGTTAACTACTGCGCATCACCTTGCTACTACAATATATGCAAATCTCAAGTTAAAGCCATAAAATAATGAAATATTAAAGCTGTGTTTTCATACTGTATATTGAGTCAGAACATAAAGTCTGTACCTTGAGCAGATGCAGTTTTCCTCCTGAACTTCTTGTACAAATTAAAAAATGTTTTGTAAATAAGAAGCACTGCCTTTCTCCTTCTTTCTTCAAAGATAATGATCCCAGACGAACTTTACTAAGTTTTCCCCTTTCAACTGAAGGAACTTGAATAAGGGAACCTGATAATAAGATTCAAAATTTACTGTACCATAGTAATATTCAGTGTTTAAAGTGTTAGTGCAGTGAATATCGTATTTTTATTTAATGCAGCTTTTCATTATAGTATGTATCAATATACATCAGCATCTGTTTTAAGGACAAGTCAATCCCCTTTTTTCATACAAGTTCACTTTTTTTTTAAATGATAAATAGACTCAAGCAAGTACATCTAGACAAATACATAGCAGGATTAGATCTTGGGCAAATTCTTATGCAATTTGAACACACTACTAACACATCGATCAGAAAATGAAGCTGAATAGCTAACTGCACTTTTGACAGCTGCTAGACATGCAAAAGATAAACTACCTATAAGCCAAAGAGGCAGAGGATGAAAAGAACAGGTTTTGAAGCAAAAGAGTTTGTGTGTGTGTGCCTGTGTGCAAGAGAGATGGAAATGAAGCCCATTTCTTCTTCTTATATTCTACTGCATAATTTTCAGTGCTCCACAGCTCATCTAAAATGTGTTACCAGTAAAATACTTCTGAACTGAATTGAACTTGCTTATGTAAGTCTGAATTTGTGCTATGCAGAACTCCAGACTGGGGACAGTTTTGCTGCTCTGACATTTCATACCTCAAAACTAGTCTCTGACCAACTTTTCCAGATTGGTATCACCACGTGTATCACTTCTGAATTTGGATCTGGAGTTAAATTTGGTGGTGAAGTGCAATTCCTCTATATATCAAAGGGAAAGATTTTATGATACAACTGGCTGTTACCAGACAGGGCAGCCAAAAGACCTCCTAATCTCATTCCCACACATCTATCCTTCCTATCACCCTTACAATGGCTCTCATTCCAGCATTAGCTACCTAATAGTGCTAAACCAGCAGGCAACTAATGCTACAAAGAAGTAGCTGACTTAACTCCCTGATATCCCTCAATCAAAGGTTAAAAAAGCACCAGTGATGCAAAGGAAATTAACAGCAGCAGAACAAGCATGAGGGGATGGATATTGGCCTCTTCCAGAGGCAACAAGATATTGGGCTAGTGTAGCTGTATCAAAGCTTGAACTAGTGGCAAGCCTGAAAATATCACCCATGAAATATTAGATTATTAATTCTTACTCTACATTGTCAAATAAATTATCTTGTTCAAAGTTCACATGCAGAATCTTAAGCAAAGAAATTAAAGTAACTGAGAAAGTTACTGTTTATCTACATTTTTTATACTTAGCTCCCTCCATATATTTAATTAGCTTTAAGTTATTAATATATTTGAAACTTACACTGTCTGTCATAGCAAGATATAAACCAGTAAATCTGTAACTGAACACTGTTCTTCGACAGCAAATTCACATTTAAACTAAAGGAGTACAAAGTGATTTGTGTCACTGCAACAAAACAGTAGAGTGAAGTAGTACTCCAGAAATTTGCAAAGGTCTGGAATATGTTTTACATTCACTTAAATTCTGACCAAACCCCATAGATACTTACTGGTTGTTGTACATTTTCCCCAGACAAAACAGCCTACCTGCCTCAACTTTGAAAGACAGGAAGGAGATCATTCCCATGTGTTGGAACAGTGTCTTTTTCATGTTATACTGACTCCCCCCTAGGTCACATTGCAAGGCGAAATATTGTGTAAAAAACAATTCCCAAGCAAATTCTCATCACAAAATTCTCAGCGTCATTATAGAGTTCCCTCTAGACATACAGGGTAACAATATTCAACCTGTACGTTTTATTTCTGCTTTGCTTCTTAGAATAACAGTATCTATAAGTATGATATGCTTATAGATTAAGCTTTACAGGTACACAGATACAGGTAGCTTTTTTTTTTTTTTTAATTTTCATTAGAATTCTTTAGGAATATCATATTCTGTTCTGCTAAAATGGGCTGAAAGTGTTCTTGTATTAAACCAAAATGTTATCATTTAACAAGGTAAATCAAAATAAACTAGATTTTTTTTAAATGCAGAAAAGAGTGACTGCATTATCTCTCTTTGATATTCAATATTTATAGAGGGAAACACATACGCACTGCATAGCTGACATCAAGCAAGGACCTCATGCATTCCCATCAACTTTTTGTGATTAATGAAACTGGGTATTTGCCTACTACGCATTCTACCACAGATTTCCTCTTAAGGAAAAAAGTGGTCACAATTGGCCAATGTACAGTTGCAGTGAGCAAGTGAGCTTAACTTTAGAACATTCCTTAATAGTACAGTTTGGACGCTCAGTGTAATCTCAGGAACTTTTATCCAGCTACAAACCTAAGCACTTTCAGTACTCCTATACCACCCAAATAGTCACTCCATTAGCCTTTGTTCAATCCCAGAAATACAAAAGGTTGTATTAAAAAAATAAAAAAACTAAAAAAAAAAAGCCTACATTTTTAACTGCCTGATTTACAAATTCAAAGTTTGGCTTTCTCCATTTTGGAGGTCTTTTAATGTTACTGTAAAGATTGTCAAACACTGGAACAGGTTGCTCATTCCAAAAGGCTGTGGAGTCTCTATCCTTCAAAACAACCAAAACCTGACAAGACATGGTACAGAGCAACCTGTTCCAGCTGATGCTGCTTTGAGCAGGCAAGATTAGACTGAATAATTTCCAGCAGTCTCTTCAAACTTCAACTACTCCATGATTTTGTAATTGTGATGTATTTATCAGTAAAGCTAAATTCAGAGCAGCCAATGGCAGGAATATCAGACAGAGCGTTTAGAGGCATCTAAAGGGCCTTGAGATGCCCTCTTGTCTGGGTGTCAGCCAATGTTGGATTGCAGATTGAGACTCCTTATGTTTCCTTTAGACTCTAAAAGAAAATGTTCCTTAATTGTCTGCCAAGACTTAGAGTGTGCCTGGCAATGAAGGCTGTATCTAAGCAAGAGACAGAGGAAAGCAGACCTAAAGAAATCTGAAGGGGAACCCACAATCTACATTGCAAAGCACTGCCAGAGATAGTTCCTATGGTCTCAACTTGTATAGCTCAACAGAACCAATCTCTTCTTAGAAAAATAAAGTATATAAAGCATAGCAAAATTGTAATCCACCTTCACAGAAAAAGCCTGGAAAAAAGGTAAAGCACCTCCTTTTTTAAGCTGAAAAGTGGTTTCCTGTACCAATTGACACTGATCAACACAAACAACAGGAGCCTAATCGAAAGCAGAGGAGGTGCACATCACAGTCAAAGTGACCCTACTGTCGTATGTGCAAGGAAAAGGGGCTCTGTGTTATTTCACTAGCTCTATTGAGATTTTTGCACTCACACAAAATCATATGCAGTGGATGTTCCAAAAGCCTCCTGTGAAGCCCCTGTAACATACATGCTTGACCACTGTCCTTTGACTGTATGCCCAGAAGGAAATCTGAATTTAATTTACTTAAACTATGCTTTTGACCTGGGTCTAACCCTTCAACAGTAATCTTTCTCAGATTGATTCCCACATTAAAAATAGTAAGATTTTACTGATGAAACATTGGGTACACAGACAAAATAATACCAGCCAATCTCAAGAAGGAAAGCCCCAACAAATATAAGTATGAAATTAAATTTCATGGTTAAAGTCAATCTAGGATAATCATAGCCCTATCATTTTTTGGCTGCGGATACAATACAACAGCTCTATACTTTTCTTAAAGCTATATTATCATAAAATCATAGAATCATAGAATGGCTTGGGTTGGAAAGGACCTTAAGATCATCTAGTTCCAACCCCCCCGCCATGAGCAGGGACATCACACACTAAACTATGTTGCCCAAGGCTCTGTCCAACCTGGCCTTGAACACCACTAGGGCTGGAGCATTCACAACTTCCTTCGGCAACCCATTCCAGTGCCTCACCACCCTCACTGTAAAGAACTTTTTCTTTATACCTAATCTAAACTTCCCCTGTTTAAGTTTAAACCCATTACCCCTTGTCCTACCACTACAGTCCCTAATGAAGAGTCACTCCCCAACATCCTCAACATCCATATTCAGAACTCTTTAAATACCTCAGTTACAACAAATACACATATTTAATGAAGACTCAAGTAATTTAATAGTCACAGTCATACAAACAATCCTAGAAGTTATTACAGGAAGTTTCATAGTTTGACCACATGACTATGGAAACAACATAGAATAGATTTCAAAATGTATACAAAGTCTATTACCAGCTGTGTATATGGCTCTATTAAATACCAAATGTTCTGCTGAGGCTATCTAGAAAAGGTCTCATGAAAGGATGCACCTAAATTACATTCCTAACCTTTCCTAAATACATTTAATGCTTTTCAGACACAAAGAAGCTTTTCCCAGTCAAAACCCTACATAGAGGTCTGTAGTCACTGTATACAAACCTACTAACTTGTTTTTAAAAGATCCAGAAGGAAATAATATATATGGGAGGAAAAAAAACCCTGTAAATATCACCAAATAACTGCAATCAGATTGCAGTTCCCAGTAAAAAGTGACATTTATTTTAAATGAAAGAGTTATTTTACCATAATTTTGAGGAACTTAACATCAAATTCCTCTGCTACAACTAAATTTCAATAAAAAGAGTTTCGAAACCCACCAAGAATAGACAAAAATGAATACAGTATGGCTCTTACCCTCTTGTTTTGCTAACTATTGTATTAGTCCTACATTCCCGGCAGAGCAGGATGACTTTTCTTCATGAATTCTTTTTGTATAAGTGCTTTTTGTATCTATCCTGAACTTCTACAAAAGCCAAAAAATGCACATTTCAAGTGACAAAATGAGTATGTTCAGCTACAACATCCATGGTTGCACTGCCATTGACATGTTTTCAAAGCACCAAGAAAAATGGGAACAACTGACAGCTCTTTTGTTTCCTAGCAATCACTTTACTGCTGGCAAAGCTTGAAGTTTCTCTGCATTTTTGCCCAAATGTTGGTATTAGCTGGGACTGCCATGTTAACTGGCTAAGCAGCCCTGGCCTCTTGAGGTGTAGGCAATTTCTATCCCTTTGAAGATCACAGTCCAGGAAAAATGTACATTACTGTCCCATGGGTGCTTTTCTATTCATGTGCTGCTGTTTTCCACGGTTCGTAAAGAAAAGAGCAGAGATGTGAGGTTCCACTACAGCCCAGAATCAGCTGCCATCAGGGAATTCTGTGACTTATGTACCCTCCACAGAACACCAGTAGTCTCAGGATGTTAGCTGTGCCCAATGCAGTGACCTGACAAACTCTTCTGGGTTTAGTACAATTTTCTCATTATTACATATAGAAAGCTTTAAAAAAGCATGTCTTACCTTGGCGTATAAAGGTTTGACTGGTATCTAGTAATATATCACAGCCTTCTACTATCGTTCTTTCTATGGCTAGATTCTTCCTGATGTTTTCTGTGTCACTCACTTCATCATGCATCACCCTGTTAGACACAATACAAAATGCACTTTAAATTCTGTAATGTATCTTGTACCTCTTGCATGTGTTTTCACTTGCACTTACACAGCCAGCTTTATATCCATGCAGTACATAATCACTCTATACCAAGCTTCTTACCTGTTCTTTCCCTCCCTTTCAGATAATTTTTGCAATAATTTAATTTTTTCAGCAGTGGAAACCATTTTGTCAGATTTATTTTTAGATTATTCCTAAGCCCATCTGGAAGATGCCAAGCTAAAAACCCTTCAGACTTGGTAGAACAGTACTTCTTGATCCTTAATAGACTCGGTTGCTAAGAACCTGGAAGTGTTTCCTAGCATTTTGTATTAGCAATATAACACATTGTAGAGACCCTGCCCATGACTTAAAGTTCCCACTCTGCTCTGCTTCAGTTTGCATCTCAATGTACCATTCACTTCCACCTTGATTCTTACAACAAGCACATAAATGTTGCTGATGGCTCACCACTTACTTTATTCCAGTTATTTTCACAAGCAACCTCCCCTTCACAGAGAAATATAGATGTTTTTCAAGGTTAAAACCAACCCAGAAGTTTATATGGTGCTGTGATGTATAGTATTTTCCCAAACTGGGACTGGATTGCACTACTGATGTATAATATTTTCCTAAACTGGGACTGGACTGCACTATCTGAAAGCTCCTCCTCCCTCAGAACTACATTAAAAAGATGGAAATGAGTCACAAAGTTTCATACTTATGGTCTATACTGCCTGCCTTATAAGCAGAGAAAAATCAATCAATCAGTCTCAGCCTCCAATTCTGAACATTCAGTGATGAGTTAGTTGGCTCAGCAACGAACTCTGACTTCCAAGTTGAATTCAAGTCCAAGCTGATTGATCTCCTTATGTACAAAACTCTGACCAGAGAAACTCTTTGCTTGCTTGAATGGAAAGGGGTCATTACTTCTTTCTGCTTCAGATGGCCTTGGAACAGGGCAGAACTTACTCAACGCTGCACGAATCAAACTCAGGCATTTCTGTAAAAGAGATTCCCTACCCAGCTCTTCAGGAAGTCAGAGCTTGAAGAGGTGGCACAACATGACCTGACTCAAATAGCTGCCTCTGTTAAAGACAGAGCAGGACCAAAGACGAAAATACAATAAGCTCTAAATTAACAAGTGGTTAGCACAAGGTAGCAACTTTGTCTAATAGAGTAAAGAAAGCTGAGCAGTCAAGAGCATGCAATTAGCAAAAGCTATAAAGCGATACCTATTTTACAACTAAATATTCTCAAAGTACATTCTTGGTAAATACTCCAGATACCCAAGATTTATATCCTGGAGTTAATGCAGCATTTCTTTGTTCACAGCAGCAATCTGTGTCTCCCAGAGAAAACAACCAAATCTCTTACTGGGCTGATACAGGGGAACATGTAAGAATGGTCTGAGAGTTTAGGGAAGAGCTTAATTTTACAGGCTTCTACAGGGAGCACCAGTTCTCAAAAGGTATCTTTAATTCCTGTTTATCTGGCATTATTTGAAGTATATGTGAAAATCAGTTATTTTATTAATGCACATAAACTATAACACAGATTGAGAACTCAGTACTTTTCCAGACCCACTGTCACAGAGTATCAAAAATGCCTTTCTTTAAACTGTGAAAAAAATAAATATATATATATGTATTTCTCTATATAAAGAAAATTGCTTTGCTCAAAACCCAGAAGTAGGTGGTTCCTATAGCAACTCAGATTCTCCCCTACCCAAAATACCAGGACACACTTGTAGATTTACGTTAGCCAAACAAAAAACAGAAGAGACAAAGTAGTAGGATGGGATATTTGGGTTTTATTTTTCATTACCTTATTTTGTTTTGGTTTTGATCCTGTTCTTCAGAAGATTTTTTTTTAAAAAAGAACAAAACCAAACCAAAATAAAGAAAATAGATTTTTTCATTTCAAAACCTTTGATACAAGCTTATCAGACATTAGAAAAGTAGGAACTAGAAAAATCTTACCTTGAAAGTTCTTCTAGTTTAGATTTAGCAAATTCAAGGCTTTTTCGCTCAACATGTTCATGTGGTGTGTGAGCCAGTAGTTCGTGAAGTGATATAATATATCTAGGAATCTTAAAACAAATTAAGTATGAAGTAAGTAAGTTCATAAAGGAATAACTCCAATAGAGCTTTTTGCTAAATATTAGCCATTACCTTTATCAGAAAAGTTTTGCAAACATAGTATTTTTTTAAATGAATATGCACAGCTACATGATTATACATACATACTAAATGTAACTACCAGCAAAATTACTGAACTTTTAGGTGACAGCGACTGCATACGAATGTGTATGTTTTCAGTTTGAGGAAGCACAATACCCATTTAATACATTTTAAGGAAAAGTTCAGATCAGAGGCAGCCACAACTATGACATTAAATTTCATTGTTTCATGCTGCTATCCCACTGCCAATAGAGAAAACTTTCAAAACTCCCTGGGAGATCCACACAAGCCTTCCCTCTATTCTAACAGGATATTAGTGTGCATCTACATTTCTTGTGACTTTGAAAACACCAGCTAACCTGTTTGCATTTAGATAAAACTCACACTGCACTAGTGGACCCTGAAGAATATTCAGCATTTGGCTATTAAAGACCACAGGGTAACCCAAGGACCCTGATCCATTTATTACTACTTCAAGCAGTTTCAGGGCTTTTAACCAGAAACAAGTGATACTGCAGTATAACTTGTCTTTGCAGAATAAAAGTTATTTGGGAGAAGGAGGTGTGACTTATTATGGCGAAATTAAGTCATCAGCAATGACATCCTCCATCACATATGAATAGAATCCTCTCTCTCCCTTCTAAGATCCCATGACCTTGTTTTATCTTAACCAAAAAAAACCCAAACTGTACAATACATAAGCTCTACACTAAAAAAAATAAAAATGTTACAGGTGCTAATGGCCTTTGAGGCTAATATTAATAACTAGCACTAACACAAGTATCACTGACACTGAGGGGGTTCACTATTCTCTCGATGAGTAAAATACTAGGTTAAATGTAAAAGGCATAAAACCATCAGACCAGTGTTTCACAGACCTCTTAAAACAGCTGCAAGTTATTAATCCAGGCAGATCAGGACAAAATGTTAGGATAAATAAAGTTCTTAAAACTTCTGCAATATATTTTTCATTTTCTAAAGATCAAGTCACTGGACAACAAAGTGGCAGGAAAGTTTCAAAATGTATTCCTATTAAAATGTTTGTGGCCACTCTAACTTGCTATAGTAGGTATACTATTGCCCTCTGGCCTGCTTCATAATCCTGTGGCAGGCAGAAGTAGACTGATTGTTTCTCAGCTTTTTTCCTTTTAGTCTTCATCCCACATTCTCTTTCAACATACATAAGATTCTCAATAGACACGAAGCAGTATAGTTGGAGAAAAGATCTCTACAGGCAGAGGTTCAGCATATTAACAAAATAAACTAAAACCAGATCAATTTACATGAAAGTGTTTTTAGTTAAGTAAGAAGAATCTTCAATCAATCGTAATGTCAGCAACACAAAATGAATCAACCAAGCATTAAAAACAAATAGTCACGGAAAATATACAGAGACTACCTGAAACATGGGGTAAGTAAGGAAAGTTTCCAGCATTCGCCCCTCACATGCTGGGTTGGCTTCATATTGCTTCAAGAGTTTGTCAAAATCTCTGTTTTGCTTACAGTTTGCCAGTACTTGTAGACTATATTGATGATTCCGAACAAATTCTTGATATATGTTCAGCATTGGCAGTAGAATGTCAAATAGATCAGCTAGAAAAAGTCAAGAAATGCTTTTTTTTTCCCAGCTACCCATCTCTTGAAAGATATTTTTAAAGAAACTACTATGTTCTATGGAAGTGAATTACTATAATCAGTTCTGTTTCAAATAAACTGTTATTTCAGAAATATTAAACTTGGCTCTTTTACCTGCCAAAACATGGTTCTTCTGATTAGCTAATAACCAGACAATACCACAGAAAGTTCTGGGGGCCGTGTCTAATCAATGCTTAGGTCAGAGGCATTCTCATATATCGACTGGAACACAGGTATTACTGATCATGTGGGACTCCCACTATACCAGATCTTGTGGTGTTAGTTCTGGAAAAGTGTTTCATTCAAAGAGGACTTTAGAAAGTCCTCTCTTAAAAGGGAAAAAAAAAAAAAACCACAAACAAAAAACCCCAAACCTTACTGTAATTTCTAAACTAAATATGAAAATTGTGCCTCTAGATAAAATATAGTAACTTACCTAGGATTAATGTAGGCCAGTTAGCTATTCTTGCTTTTAAGCCTTGGTGAAATATCTCATGAAGAAACATGATAGTTTCACTGGATTAAACAAATAAAAAGATGATTCAGATTTTCTGATTAATAACTCACAGAAAAACATCTCTTCCTGGTTAGTAGTGTGTTTTGCATCAGAAGATAGTTATTATTATGGAAGTAAGTGCTTACTTTTGTTGCACTGATCAAAATTTTGAGTCTAGTATGTCTAAAAATATATAGTATTCTGTGTATAAAGCATATTCTAACTGTTTAGATCTTTTAAATAAAATCATCTATTAAATAACATTCCATGCAGTTTCATTAATAGGTTTTCTAAGAATATCCTTGGCAATGCATTCAGTCCCTTAAGAGGACCAGTAAGATGCAGAAACCTCAAGCCATGGTAGCCATCTACATTCTTGCTTGCTGCTGTTTAAGATCTGAAGCTTACAACTTTTCTGTAACATGAACCTTAATACTGTATTTTAGCTTATGAGGTCAACAGAAGTAGGGGACATCACAGTTGTAAGAAAAACCATAGAGTATAGTGATCATGAATGAGCTATGAAAGGGAAACCTGTCTCATAACTAAAGGAACACGTTCTATTTATTAGAAGTTTGGGGCAGACTTGGATGCAATACCAACCCTCTATGAGGGTTAGATGCCCGCTGGCTTATTTGTACATACTCATTACAGTAGTACTTGGATGCTTATTGCAAAGAGCAATTCTTTTTTTGTAGGATATGAAAAGACAAGTGAGAGGGAAGGAGGCTCCTCAGGCAGGACAAATAGAAGATTTGATGTACTCTCCCCAGGGTCTTATCTGGATCATATGAGGCCAGTAAGTCCAATTTTGCTCTCTTAAGAGAAAAGAAAACAGGAAAGGTGACAGAAAATTATAAGAACTGCCCCAAGAGGCACGATTTGTCATTTGTCCTTTTTTTCCTCTAGCAGAGGAAGAAATAGAATGTAAGGAGGCAAAGAGGTCTAGCTGGTTTCAAACAGCATCACCAACAGCACCTTGCCTTTTACCCTGGAAACACTTGTCTTCCTCAGTGACATTGCTTCCATCAGAGCAAAAAACAAAACAAGTGCCAGACCTCACTACTGTAAACTGAAGCAGAATGGGAAGCACTAGTCAGAGAAACCCCCAGAAAGCAAACAAAAATCCCCATACCTGTTGAGGAAAATGCTACTAACATCATCATGACTGATAGGTGGCTTCTTTGAACTTGCAGCCATTCTTAAGGGCCGCAGAAAACAGTTCACAAGAACATAAAGTTGATGTACATATTCAGATTCAGCCTCCACCATGTTAAAAACTATCTGATTCCTTTTTCTCATGCTTTCTGCATGGGGAGAACAAATATAATCTTGGACAATAGTCTTCCATTTTCTTCTACATAACCACCCCCGCATAAAGCTCTGGACCTAAAAATGAACCAAGCAGAAAACAAGAATCAGAAAAAACATCACATAACTTACCATAAGCTCTTCCTTGTAGAACTAAGACTCTAAATGAAATACCTCTGTTTAAAAAACAAACAAGTCTGTTGCTCTTATTGATCTATAATTGTTCCAGAATTAATTATTTTTTTTTAATTTTTGTTTGTTAATAAAATTCTTGCAATCATTTGGTCATACTTGTTGCCAGGAAACAAACTGAGATGATATCCCATCCATATCAAAGTATCTTTTACTGCAAGCTTGAACACTGTACATACTTTTCCCATCATGCACAACCATGCTACACACTGTGCAGGTTTTTTATCTCCTTTTACCTCCCTTTACACATTTCTCTTACACCCCCAAAGGTATTGTGCAGTGCTTCCAGGTAACTCATTTCAAGACAGAGATCATTGTTGACATAATACTAAAATAGATGTTTTCAGTTTTGAATAGAAACCATTTAAGATGTGTTTTTAAAGCTATGTATCAATATACCACTTAGTACCAAGCACCTAGGCCAACAATACTACTATCCAGAAAAAACAGATTTTTGGCATTCTTAAAAAGCACCTCTGTGTCATGGAAAAATCTGCTTAAGCATAATACCCACTGAAGTTGCAAGTAGATTAAAGATTACAGAAAAAGTCTATATATGGTCACAGAAAATTTTGGTATGCCTTTGTCTTGATCTTGGTGTGGAGACCATTCATATTGAAAAAGAAAGGCAGAATCTCACTGGTAGCAGTTTACTTTGAATAAATAACTTTTTAAAAAGGGTCCAATTGTCAAAACAATCAAGATGTAGAATGCAGTGAATTATATAAAAAATCAGAGCTCTCTTTCTACTAAAAGACATGTTTCTAGCTTCTCTTAGAATGTTTAATCCACATGAAAATGAAAATTCACACAAGCTCAGTGCTAACCCTGACTGAAGACCACATGAGCCAGAAAAAGTCAGAAACTAAGACCATATCACATAAAGGATATTATGCAATTCAAGAGACTGAACACTGTGGAAGTAAGGGTAACACATATGGAACCACATCTTCTAGCATGGAGTCCATTCATGCTTGAAGATGTGATGAATTCCATTCATGCTTCTGCACTAGAAATTGAAGGAGTCAGCAATGGGCAAAGTTCTGGAGGCTGGTTATATCTAAGCCTTAAGCAATACGGCCAAAAGCTGCACATGTAAATGCCAGACAGAGTGCAACAATTCTGTCCTGGGTATGAAGAAAACTGGCCATAGTATCCTGGAACAATCACCAACAAACAGAGCAGGAGACAACCTAAACCAGACTCTGCATTTCTAATACTTGTACTCCAGCTTCAGTGGCAGAACAAAGGTCATTCTCTTACATCTTTATAACCCTTTTCATAAGAAAAGAGTATAAAGTCACTATACACTTGATTCCCAGAGGACACAGCCCATGACTTATTTTCAGCCTTAACAAGCAGTTGAGTGCTATGTGCAAGTTTCTTTAAGAAACTGCAAGTAAAAATGAATACATAAGTAACAAATACACCATGGGTTAAATGTGGCACTGAAACATAGGAAGCTGATTTAATTTGAGGTTTAAATAAGGGCAGGGCAAAAGGAAACTTGCTATTTGACTGTACTCAATGAAAAATAAATGAACACAAAACTGAGCAGACTAAAATACAGAAGTACACCCCCATCCCACCCCTCTCCTCTTAGGAACATTACCTTTTTAATTTTTTTAATATCTGGGTTCTCATCTTCCTGGTTGCCTTGATAAGGTCGCATTCTTTCTTTTGTTTTGTTGAGAGCTACAATCTGACAAAAACAATGATTCATTAAATGCTTTCTCAAGCTAATGAGATTCTTAGTTACAGAACAAACAGAAAAAAATATTTTAAAACTATTGAAAAAATAAGTATCAAAAAATGTTGAAAAAAGCATTTAGCCAAGGGTTCACAGGGAGACTACCACATATTAACCTTATTGGGTTGCGTTATTTTCACAAATATTACAGAAACATTGAATACTATTGCAATGTGCGGAGCAAAATGTAATTCACAGAATCCCAGACTGGTTTGGGTTGGAAGGCACCTTAAAGCTCATCCAGTTCCAACCCACTGCCACAGGCTGGGGCACCCTCCACTACACCAGGTTGCTCCAAGCCCCTGGGTCCAACCTGGTCTTGAACACTGCCAGGGATGGGGCAGCCACAGCTTCTCAGAGACTGCTTGATGGCTGTGGCACATACCTCAGATTTAAGTCTTTCAATTTCTGTGTCTTGATCTTCAAGCTGATGTCGAAGCTGATTAGCCGCAATCTTTTCGGTCTCGACAATCTGGACAAGATGAATGTACTTCTGCATTAACACCTCCCTTTCAATCAGAATATCTGAATAACTAAAAGGGAAAACATTTACATTAGTAAAAAATAGGCAATTATTGTCTTCCATATCCCCTTATGAGATATTGTCAGGATAAACACTGAACCAGTGACAACTGCAAAACTGTGTTTCTTTGGCTTAATATAAAATTAGGAGCTTGATCATAAATCCTCCAAACTTACAGTGTTCAATATCCTTTCTAGACACAGATGCTAGCAGTACCCATTTTCACAGTACCCAGTTACTGAAAGCAAGATAATTTAACCGAACCTTTTTATAAGCTTCTAATCCTCAGGCTAAGCCCAAGAATTCTATTAATTCAATTTATTTTACGTTAAGGGCTGCTTCTCCTTTGCCCCCATCTTTCTGGGAGGCGATTCATCAGAACTATTTCTAATTCTCTCCACCTGTCATATCTCTTTATGGAAGAATTCCCACCATAGAATCATAGAATAGTTTGGGCTAGAAGTGACTTTCAAAGATCACCTAGTTCAACCCTCCTACACTGAGCAGGGACACCTTCATCTAGATGAGTTTGCTCAGAAACAACCACATTCAGTCTGAATAACTGTTATTAAGTTTGCTAACACCTATTGTATTGTTTAGCCCAGCTTGAGATTACTCAAATAAATGCATTTATTCTAATCAGTAACAGGAGCTATGGTATCAGGTGTTTCTTTTAGCTCTTGGGCAGCCAACTGCCATTGAGCTGTATTTTCCTGAAAAGGGATGGTATCCCTAAAGCAATTAGATGTCACAATCAGAGCGGTGATAAGCATCATACTGGAGGTACTGTTCACATCTACAGGTAAGGGAGGAATCAGTCTCTTCCTATGCAACCTCTTCATCAGACTGTTCTTTCATGTGATTCAGTCCCTCTCATATAGATAATTTAAATGTGCAGAAACTATGTGCTTGTTTGCTGGCCTTCATTCAGCAAGATCTACAGACACAGACTGCTTCTTTACAGGGGTTTCAGGAAGCTTGTTCCCCTGAGAGTTAAATATTTTACAAGATAAAGACCAAACTGCACAAAACACAATAGAAAAAAAAGCCCTAAATCTTTGATAAGGGATCTCTTACTATTTTACGATCTATCATTAAAAATGCTGACTATCGTATCTTCTTCCACTGTTCGATTAGCAAAGGATTTGACAGAAGGAATTTCTGGATTGCACATCTTTTTCTCTTAAATTTCTTTCTACTTCTTAGAGCACTCATGAAAAAATTAACATTTGCTATTAAATACTGGGAGGCTGTTAAAAATGTAATGATGAGCATCCTCCACAGTTAATCATTTTTCATATATATACTTACTTCCACTTCAATCAGTATTAGTGCAATTATATACTGGAGGGGGCCAATATTGAGTACAGCTGTTAAATTCATCAACTAACCTGGAAAACAAGCTTAGATTTTTTTAAAATAGAATGATTTCCCACAGCTGTCATAAAGCAAAGGCTTTTCCTCCTTGGATAGATTATAAAAAGAATAAGAAGTGAATTTAATTCTATTACAATTTTTGTTATATTTTGACTGCTGCAACAGTAAACAATAAATGACAAAACAAAAGCTCACAGCACCTCTTTCAACAAGTTAAACAACACATAAAAAAATCTGTCATTAAGTAATCCATGTATCTTAACTGTACAATAAACAGTAATAAAGTGTGAGATTTAGTTCTTTAAAATTGTTCGATAATAATCTTTTTTGTTTTTCAAGAATTCTGTTTCTTCCAGAAACCATAGTACTTAATCTCTTTCTACCCTAAGGAGTATTTGTACATGATAAAAAGCGTCTGGGTTAGGTACACAACACTGGTTGCTTTACAATGAGAGATGTTATGAAGATAAAAATACATGTAACATATGTAAGAAAATGCATTCCTTACTGCCTGCAGCATCATCTAGATTTACACTGAATATAAAGAGTAGTCTTATCCAGATGCAGATAGGTGACCACCTTTTCTTGTGTGTTCTTTCCAAAATTTTTTTAAACTTTTGCTACCAAATGTTTCCAATACAGAATTTGACAGGTTTCGCTTTGCTTTTATTCAAGACTGAGGAATAGTAGGGCACAGAATCACAAAGGGTGAACAGCAGCTGCAGTCAGAGCTGACCTAAGACTCGAGGTACTATTATATATGATGGTTTTCTTTCACTTTTTTATTTTTATTTTCCTCCTTTAGGGGAAGAAACTTCATCTAGATTTTTCAGTTTCTTTAAATGCATTAAGCCAGATTTCCGCAGTCTTGCTTTACTGGGGAAAATGAACTTTGCTATGGAAGATTGAAAAGGTTTTGTACTTTTGAGATGTATGCAGAGTATCCTGCCTAGTCAGTGGCTTCGGCTGTCTAAAATGTCAATCTCTGCCTGGAAACCAAACATTTCCTTCACTGCCATAATGAGCAGTATGAAGAGGAGTTAATTAGAAAAGCCTGTGTACACCTACACTACCTTAGAATAGGCTATTCATTTTCCTTCTCTAAAGTGCTACTTGTTCTGGGAAAGCAAAATCCTAAGATTTTGGAATAAACTACACATGCTTCCAATGGCCCTTTTCAACCATGCCTCTGTATGTATGAGCTAAGGATCATCACACCCAAAGTGCTAACCTGGATACCCAGAAGGAGCCTTTCAAGAGTGACTGGTTGCAATACTGACTCGATTACACATGTATACAAATTCCTTTCTTAAAGAAAAATGTACTGAAGTGTTCAAATGTCAAAGGAAGATGAAAAATTCATAAAACAACTTGTAAGCAGCCAATGTAGATCTAGTTCTCTGGCTTGGATATCATTTAATAGAAAGAAGCAACTTCTGTGAGCCACAGCTTTCTATGAAAGGTATTAACATTTCATTGAGAGAAGCAGTGCTATAAATCTATAGTAGAATAAAAGAAAGAGCATCCTGAAAGCTGAGGCTATACTTGTTTCATACTGTCATCTGCAGAGACAGGACTCAAAGGAGTCCTGGACCAGGTATTTCAAGAACCTTAAGCTCTGTTTGACCACTACCTACCACTGCCTAGAAACAGGAAGAACTGAAGAAAGTCCTGAGAAAAATGATGCATCATTTGTGCCCTGTGAGAGCCAACGTGTTCAGAAAATACAGAAAAACATGTGAAAGTTTAACCAATGCCTCATTATTAGGATCGCCTTGTTGTGGTAGCAGACCAGGACAAAGGCTCCAGTAGTGCTATCAGCAAATATAATTGATTTTTGTACCAAATTCAGGCCACAGTTATGGTTCATTGGATCACTCTGTGCTAAATCTACTGAAGGCAGCTGCAAGAACCAGGCATTGGTCATATCAAATCATCCTTTTGAAACGCAAAATGGACAACCTAATCAACTCTTTATGAAAGCCATGTAATACGGCTGTGGGGATCTGGAAGGCAAAAGAAATGGCCTACATCTGCCCATACTAATCATATTCAGGCAGCTATAGGACTCCTTAACAAAGGAGGTTTTAAAGTCTAATGGCATATGAACAGCCACACTAGGTATGGAAACAGTGAAAGTAGCAATAAAACTTACCCTGTGACTCTAACCAAGGTGACCTGGGGGACTACCTATACACAAGCACTATTAACTTTAATGAACTCCTGTACTATACGGGAAATCAAAGGACACCTATGTCTGTGAGGGTTACAGAGATGAGACTTATCAGAAAATACAGAATTAAGATAGGTTTTCAGACATCCATGGACAACTGTTTAGAAAGGCTGTAAAAGAGGTTTTCTGCTGATCTCCAGTTAAACTGGTGGGAAATGGCACTTGGACTGGTGAACGACAGCAACCAGAATTTAGAGGGTGGGTAGGTGGGTATAGGACTGCGTGATGCATGGGGAAGCATGAGAAGTATATACCCCAAATGATTTTTACTACAATATCCTTTTAGTTGAGACAGGGAAGTATAAACTGGAATAAAGAACATTTTGAAAGGGTGGCCCAACAGCCATAGGAGGTTTCATGTACCCAAACCATGCCAGTTAGGTAATGGCTTACTCTAGGAGCATGAGTGTGTGGAGAGGGGAATGCTACCCTCTTGTACAAGAATGAGACAATCATGAGAACACATCTCATCAGCCAATGTGTTACTCGTCGGACTCATAACTCACACTAAAACCAGTTGTTCCAATTGTCCTGGACTCTTTTATCAAAGAAAATATGACTACAGGAATTAATCTACAAACAAACTGGAGCTGAAAGGCATCTTTCCCCATTACACAAAACTGAGGCAGAGTTCAACAGCAGCCATGAAATCCACACTAAATACAATGGAAAGGACACTCCCTGCGGGGCAAGCCGAGGCTTCACAGAGCTGATATGAACTTGTAGCTACTATCTCCAGAAAGTGTGATTGGTAGGATTTCAGATGTTCCCTTAGAAAACAGCTACCACACCAACCTTCTGGACAGCTGTAGTTGCCAGTATAATCATTCCCTTTGAAGTTTTGTGTCCACGTTATCCAAAGCTGTCTACCAAGACCTACAAGCCCCACTGAGGGGCTTAAGGAGCCCTCTGCAGCAGCACTGAGATGTCTGCTCCAGAACAAAGCCCTTCTAGGGGAAAAAACAGATTTCTATGATGTGCAGTACAAGGAGTGCAGGAGGTACGGTCAAACCCATCAAGATGAGTTAGTGGGAAGGCTCATCTTTAAGGCTGAGAAGGGTTACCAACTATAGGGGTGTGAAACATACTATGGGATACAGGGAAAAGCATTTTGGGATTGTGCAAGGCTTGTTACGGGATGTTGAAGGAAGGAATCAAAGGCAGGAAAAGGGAGGGATCAAGAAGGTTTGAGGAGGAGGAAGCTTGGAGAAACACAGACGTAAGGGGATAAATGTGGATAAAGGGTCACATGTAACCAGGTTGACCAGAACACTTGCCTGACCATGCTCTGCACTCGATCAGCACAGCCCAGTCTGTCTTCTCATTAAACTTCACTTCTAACTCCTTTCCTTGGTGAGCAGACTCCATATACACATCCATGGACCTAAAAGTCCCAGCTA